TCTTTTAAATTCATTGGATTGTCAAGTCATCATGGATCTAGATAATCAATTATGCCCTTAAAAAGAAAACAATGCTAAGCAAAAGGGAACATGTATAAGATATAAAAGGCCCTGCAAATCAGATTGCAATTTAGATTTAACAAGTGATTCAGCTAAATCAATAGGCATGTATGTAAGCCCTCGCTTGGCCCCCATTAATTTAATTTTTATTTCTCTCTTTCTTATTTTCAACCACACAATCTTCCATAAAATAATATTAGACGTAAATCGTCTTTTTCTTCTTTTTTCAACCACCCATTTTTGAAAAAAATACTATTCCACCCCATTAAAATTTGAAATAATAGGGGTCAAACAGGGGATAAATAAACATGAATAACATGTCATTTCATTTTTCTACACTTCAAAAAGTCAAGTGATTCTTGTCTTTTGAGAACAACCAATTATTTGACACCTCTAAATGCAGATCCAAAATATGGTATCCTTAGTCTTAGTGAACCTTAAACCAATCTAAGATAGAGAAACTAATCACAATAAAATAATTTTTACCTTGGCACATTGATGTCTGGCCAATTGCCAATCAATTTGATGATAAGGATGAGTATAGAGCTCTTTTCTAAGTGATAGAACAGCGTTGTTAACTGGCCCAACATATCTCTTCCTGTATAAATATGACATTGGTAGGTACACCATCCGGCAATGACACCACATACGCCCTACATCAGTTGCAGAATTTCATAATTATCTTTGTTAGTTCTAATTATTTATTGTAAGTTTTAACACAAAATTATAGTTTTGGTCCAACAAGTATACGTTGTTTGAACTGTTAAATAAAATGTGTAGAGCACGGGTGAGAAAATTTTGTTTAATAGATCTGTTTACATTGGCATTAGAGGTTTCTAGAACAATCTCTAGATATATGAGCACCTAGGGCTTGTTCAATAAGGTGAATTGTATAACATCAAAGATTGTTAAATAAGACAAGGAAGTCAAAATCTTTTTCATTGTAGAAATGATAAAATTTTACAAAATGTGAGTATTTTTTAGAAAAAAAATAGACATGCATCTTTATACAACTAAGTATTATCATTGTACCCAAAGATTCCATTCCTCATGCATCTATCACAGCTAGATTGGTTCCATAGTGTTCCTCAAATTTCAAATATATGGCACACCCTTGGAAATAGATCTCAATGTCTGCTATCTTCTAATCATTGTGAATAAAATTGAACTGTGTTCAAGAAAAGAAAATTTAGTATCAAAGGAAGCAGTAAGAACCTGGGTGCACAGGGAAAATATAAGGAAGAAGCCATAATTCAGGAGGTAAAGGGTTATTGCCACTCCACTCATATACGCCCAGTACCTGGGAAGTTTTCATAAGTACTCAATGTAACATCAAGTTCTAATTAAAATCTTATATGACTTTTACACGCGTGCGTGGGTAGGGAGGGAGGGTAATACCGAGAGCCAAAATTTTCCCCATGATGGAATGTAGGTGGCACCACCATGATCAAGAATCCATGTTCTTGCTTTCTGAATTGCACCATCTCCACTTCTCATATCTTCACCAAGAAGTCTTAATGTAACATAATTGAGGGCTGTACCGAACATGGTGCTGTGTCCTTCTATGTGCAAGCCCCAGCCTCCATCAACGTTCTACGGTTCAATTAACTAATTATATCAGTTTCTATAGCAATGGACATTTCCCTTAATAATTTTCTTTCATTTTTGTATCTATCAATGCAACACTACGCTATACAAATATCTCGTTTTTACAATTTTATGCCAATAGTTAGTCATTATAGTATTGCTGCTTTTGTTTTCTCTTCTTCATTTTTCTTCTCTCTTTTTGGCAATAAGTTGATGAATAATCATTTATAGCATACATTTCTCACATGCTGGGCAATTACCAAGATTAGCTCGACTATTGCATAAGACATCAGTATAATTCTCATTCAATGATATTTATAAAATAAGAGCTAAGAACTACCTGATGATTATACAAATAGCGACAAATCTCTTTTTGATGTTCTTCAGGCAGGATTGTGTTTAGAGCATCCATTACAAACAAGGATATAACCTGCAAATGTTGAAATTACTGTGAGTTGAAAGAAATGATTTCAAGATTAAACTAAGGAATCAGAGAAAAAGTAGACTGACAAGCACCATTATTGAAATCCAAACATTTGCATAATACATCACAAATTCAGGTGATGACTGATGAGAAAATTGTGGTTGGAACGATGAGTCTACAGGTTGTGACTTGTGAGGAGTACACATTTTGAGAAAATCTTTTGGACAGTCGGGCAAAAGTACCGGCCAGTCTCTTGCCGGAAAAACCTTTACCCCCAACCGCCGAGACACCGTCCAGTGGCAATCCGGCTGGACAGTCTCTCGCAGGCGATTTCGCCGATCGAGTTGGCCATTTGAACCAAAAAGCATTGGAACCCAAGAAACCTTTTCTTTTATATTTTTATTTTTGCAATAATATAATAACAAAAAGGACAAAAACGTTTATGTAAAAGTAAAACAATGAGAATATCAAATTCTTTTCAAAATATAATTCAAATAAATATTGAAAATATATTTCAAACATTATTTATCATAAACTATACATATAAATTTAAAATATTCGACTACATAAAGCTTTTTTTGTTAAATAACTTTTTTTTAATAAAACATAATTTAAAATAATAATTTGTCAAGAGCTAAATTAACTAGAGTATATGTCCGAAAAGCCTGTTTGGAAGAGATTTTGAGAATTGATTTTTTAACCATTATGAAAAAAGTGAGATCAACTTGTAAGAAAAGAAGTCAAATATGACGACTGAAATAGTGAAATAACGATTAAAAAAATCGCTCCCCAACATGCCCTAAATATTTTTGGTATTGCTTTTTATTAATCTCGTATAGTGTGACGTCCGACGTGCCATATCCATCAAGCTTCCAGTGGCAGTGGGTTGAATTATATTTTATTTAATATTATCATATATTGACGTGAGTGAATATTATCATTGCAAGAAATAGATGCACTTTCTGAACACAGACTTGAGGGTTTTTTTGCAAAAAGATCTGTTCCCACAATATCAAGCTCCTCTTCGGTCTGGATAAAGATTTTAATTAAAGTTCTAAATTTTATGAAAAATGAGTTTAAGAAAGAGTAATGTTAATTGCAGTCGCTCACTCTCGTTCTATGTGATATACATGTGGCGGTTAGTGATTTGATATATTAATTGGTAGTTTTTTATTACTTTATGCAACAAATTACTAACCGTCACATGTATGTCACGTAAAGCGATTGTAGTAGTGAACGGTTGCAAATAGCATTATTCTCTAAGAAATTATGACAAAATAGGGCTATGATATGTTGACAAAGTCAGAAAAAAATGATGAACTGAAATAAGAGAGCTCCCACCAAGCCTGGCATGAGAAACAAAGGGCCACCATAATCAGCAGGCCAGTGTCCATCTTCAACCTGAAGAGTTGAATAGAATCTTAGGGCTCTTTTCAATGTTATTTCCACTGCTTCAACTGTTATTTCTTCTTCACTTTCTATTTTAACCTGCTGCAGCAACTCTACCTCAACAGGATTCTCCTTTGCAAGCTGTAAGCAAAAGTAATGTCCATTCACAAAAAAGTTATTTTATCCATTCACAAACATGCCCTAATAGCACGATTCTGCTTAGTCGAGCATAACAATCATGGTCCTACAAAAGAAAAATGCGCGATAACTTAAGATGGATTGGTTGTCACCTGAAGTCGCATTAGCAAATCAGAACTATGTTTGATATTATAACGGTTATTGTGAAACTCCTCGCGAATCTTTTCAATGGCAGCTTGTTCTTCTGGTGTTCCTAGGTTAGGATCAAATTCCCAGTACTGTCTACCAGAATGGTTATTTACACTTGTAAGCCACGGATCATCCCCTTCTGAAACTTTAAGCTTCCACATTTTCTCTCTTTTCCTTTTGGGTATTTTGATCAAAACCCTACTATAACTTGTTGAACTAAATATAGGGTAAGGTGGGGTGAGGGGGTAGTCATTGCTTGAGAGTAGTTAAGGAAGAGAAGTTTTCGTGAGAAAATAAGTATCAGATCGAAGAAATTTTGAGATTGGATTAAGTTTCGCAATGAAGAAAAAGTGTTGAACTTTGGAACATGTGTGAAGAAGGATTCTTTTAGTCGCGTGTATTTATAGTTGGTGGAACCACGTCGATTTTTGCAATAATATAATAACAAAAAGGACAAAAACGTTTATGTAAAAGTAAAACAATGAGAATATCAAATTCTTTTCAAAATATAATTCAAATAAATATTGAAAATATATTTCAAACATTATTTATCATAAACTATACATATAAATTTAAAATATTCGACTACATAAAGCTTTTTTTGTTAAATAACTTTTTTTTAATAAAACATAATTTAAAATAATAATTTGTCAAGAGCTAAATTAACTAGAGTATATGTCCGAAAAGCCTGTTTGGAAGAGATTTTGAGAATTGATTTTTTAACCATTATGAAAAAAGTGAGATCAACTTGTAAGAGAAGAAGTCAAATATGACGACTGAAATAGTGAAATAACGATTAAAAAAATCGCTCCCCAACATGCCCTAAATATTTTTGGTATTGCTTTTTATTAATCTCGTATAGTGTGACGTCCGACGTGCCATATCCATCAAGCTTCCAGTGGCAGTGGGTTGAATTATATTTTATTTAATATTATCATATATTGACGTGAGTGAATATTATCATTGCAAGAAATAGATGCACTTTCTGAACACAGACTTGAGGGTTTTTTTGCAAAAAGATCTGTTCCCACAATATCAAGCTCCTCTTCGGTCTGGATAAAGATTTTAATTAAAGTTCTAAATTTTATGAAAAATGAGTTTAAGAAAGAGTAATGTTAATTGCAGTCGCTCACTCTCGTTCTATGTGATATACATGTGGCGGTTAGTGATTTGATATATTAATTGGTAGTTTTTTATTACTTTATGCAACAAATTACTAACCGTCACATGTATGTCACGTAAAGCGATTGTGGTAGTGAACGGTTGCAAATAGCATTATTCTCTAAGAAATTATGACAAAATAGGGCTATGATATGTTGACAAAGTCAGAAAAAAATGATGAACTGAAATAAGAGAGCTCCCACCAAGCCTGGCATGAGAAACAAAGGGCCACCATAATCAGCAGGCCAGTGTCCATCTTCAACCTGAAGAGTTGAATAGAATCTTAGGGCTCTTTTCAATGTTATTTCCACTGCTTCAACTGTTATTTCTTCTTCACTTTCTATTTTAACCTGCTGCAGCAACTCTACCTCAACAGGATTCTCCTTTGCAAGCTGTAAGCAAAAGTAATGTCCATTCACAAAAAAGTTTTTTTATCCATTCACGAGCATGCCCTAATAGCACGATTCTGCTTAGTCGAGCATAACAATCATGGTCCTACAAAAGAAAAATGCGCGATAACTTAAGATGGATTGGTTGTCACCTGAAGTCGCATTAGCAAATCAGAACTATGTTTGATATTATAACGGTTATTGTGAAACTCCTCGCGAATCTTTTCAATGGCAGCTTGTTCTTCTGGTGTTCCTAGGTTAGGATCAAATTCCCAGTACTGTCTACCAGAATGGTTATTTACACTTGTAAGCCACGGATCATCCCCTTCTGAAACTTTAAGCTTCCACATTTTCTCTCTTTTCCTTTTGGGTATTTTGATCAAAACCCTACTATAACTTGTTGAACTAAATATAGGGTAAGGTGGGGTGAGGGGGTAGTCATTGCTTGAGAGTAGTTAAGGAAGAGAAGTTTTCGTGAGAAAATAAGTATCAGATCGAAGAAATTTTGAGATTGGATTAAGTTTCGCAATGAAGAAAAAGTGTTGAACTTTGGAACATGTGTGAAGAAGGATTCTTTTAGTCGCGTGTATTTATAGTTGGTGGAACCACGTCGAGGCTTAGAGATAAACGTAAATATTGTGAACTATTTTCGGATATTGGAACTTTAAAGATCGTGAATATGATCTAGTAGCATATAAATGCTTCCAATATACAATTTGGGTGAGCTTAAAATAACTTAAAAGGTGGGCTTTTTAAAACTTTTTCAATAAAGTTTTTTGAGTCGCATGTATTTATAGTTGGTGGAGTCATGTCCACGCATGAACATAAGCGTGAAATTGTTAGCTTACTTGGGATATTGGACAGATCATGAATCAGTAGCAAAATAAATGCTTCCAATATAAAATTAGCGTGTTTGGGTGAGCTTAAAGTAGCTTAAAAAGTGAATTTTTTAAACTTTTCAAGAAAGCCAACTTTTAAGCTATTTGAACATGCACGACATCCAATCAATCATTAATAAAGAATTCCATGTTGTCTTCCCACCGATTTAGCTGCCGTTTGTTTTCCATTTTTTTGTAAGAATGCATTTTGAATAGTTAATTGATTAAGAATGTATAGTTAAGAAATTAGAAAAAGTTTTAATTTTGCGTGTATTATTATTTTATTAAAAAATGTGTTATTAAAAAGAAATGAGAGAAAAAGGGGTATCAAACAAGGGCTAAATTTGAGAATTAAAATATCCAGTAGATTTGTATGTTTCTTAAGAACTAAACTGTTTTGTAGAGACCCTCAAGAGAAAATGTTTAAATTGAATAGACATCTGTTCCTATCATATCTTGGCAATTTCTGCTGATCGTCTATATGCAACAAATTACTAACCGTCACATGTATGTCACGTAAAGCGATTGTGGTAGTGAACGGTTGCAAATAGCATTATTCTCTAAGAAATTATGACAAAATAGGGCTATGATATGTTGACAAAGTCAGAAAAAAATGATGAACTGAAATAAGAGAGCTCCCACCAAGCCTGGCATGAGAAACAAAGGGCCACCATAATCAGCAGGCCAGTGTCCATCTTCAACCTGAAGAGTTGAATAGAATCTTAGGGCTCTTTTCAATGTTATTTCCACTGCTTCAACTGTTATTTCTTCTTCACTTTCTATTTTAACCTGCTGCAGCAACTCTACCTCAACAGGATTCTCCTTTGCAAGCTGTAAGCAAAAGTAATGTCCATTCACAAAAAAGTTATTTTATCCATTCACAAACATGCCCTAATAGCACGATTCTGCTTAGTCGAGCATAACAATCATGGTCCTACAAAAGAAAAATGCGCGATAACTTAAGATGGATTGGTTGTCACCTGAAGTCGCATTAGCAAATCAGAACTATGTTTGATATTATAACGGTTATTGTGAAACTCCTCGCGAATCTTTTCAATGGCAGCTTGTTCTTCTGGTGTTCCTAGGTTAGGATCAAATTCCCAGTACTGTCTACCAGAATGGTTATTTACACTTGTAAGCCACGGATCATCCCCTTCTGAAACTTTAAGCTTCCACATTTTCTCTCTTTTCCTTTTGGGTATTTTGATCAAAACCCTACTATAACTTGTTGAACTAAATATAGGGTAAGGTGGGGTGAGGGGGTAGTCATTGCTTGAGAGTAGTTAAGGAAGAGAAGTTTTCGTGAGAAAATAAGTATCAGATCGAAGAAATTTTGGGATTGGATTAAGTTTCGCAATGAAGAAAAAGTGTTGAACTTCGGAACATGTGTGAAGAAGGATTCTTTTAGTCGCGTGTATTTATAGTTGGTGGAACCACGTCCAGGCTTAGAGATAAACGTAAATATTGTGAACTATTTTCGGATATTGGAACTTTAAAGATCGTGAATATGATCTAGTAGCATATAAATGCTTCCAATATACAATTTGGGTGAGCTTAAAATAACTTAAAAGGTGGGCTTTTTAAAACTTTTTCAATAAAGT